ATGATGGCAATGGATTTTCTTTTCTTTTTCTTTGTCTTTTTTCTTTTTTCTTGCCAGATGGCACATGCACTTGCCAGAGGAAACAGAGATGGAGGGAAAGAACCCTCCCCCACCCCCCCATGGGGCATGGTCACACCAAAATCCCTTCTCCGTTTCTTCATCCTGTTGGGATCTTAGGCATGTACCCACAAACACCTGGCATGCTTTTCAAGCTGATGGGGCAGGACTTAAAATGCACTGTTGGTCATGTGGCATCAGCTTCCTTGACCACAAGGTCACAGGCCCACCTGACTGTAATGGGATCTGGCCTTTTAAGTAAAACAGAGGGGCCAGCTCTGTGGCCTGCTGGTTGGAGCAGCCAGATCCCATGTGGCCAGCTGCACAGTTTGGGGCCCCTCCCTGGCAGTTTGAGAGACAGGGCACGAGTGCATATGTGTCCAGAGTCCTAACAGGGTAGAGAGAAGGACAGGGGTTTATGGCATGACCATTCTGGACACACATGCACACATGCCCTGTCTCTCAAGTACATGTACCCTCTAACATAAATAAATAAATAAAACAAAAACAATTAGATAAATAAATGAACTATGTAATAAGGAGAAGATATCTATGAACTTGCAGATGCTAGTCCACAACATAATTACTGCAATAGTTAGCAGCAGCTGTGTAACAGATTGCCTCAGAATTTAGTGGCTTGTAACAGTAAATATTAGCTCACAGTTTCTGTGGGTCAGGAATTCAGGAATGACGTAGGAACGCAGTTCTGACTCAGGCTCTCCCAAGGGGTCAGGATGTTGCCAGGGGGTTTAGTCATCTGAAGTCATCACTCACCAGGCTATTGGCAGGAAGTCTCGGTTGCTCACCACTCGGGACTCTCTAGTGGATGCTTGAGTGTCTTCATGACATGGCAGCTCTCTGACCCATACTTCATCACTACCTTATTCCATTTATTGAAGCAGGTCACAAAGTCCAAAGCACTGCCCGAGAGGGGGGAGTTCGTCTCCACTTGAAGTGAAGAGTCAAAAACTCTGTGTACGTATTTGAAAACCACTGCAATCACAAAAGGACAAATAGTAACTATAGCAATGAAGTCTGGTAGACCTTACATAATCAAGGAATCCAAATGAATATCATCTGTAATAAATTGGGAGGCCAGACCGTGGGCGGCCGTAACATGTCAGGCGCTAAGAGACTGACCCCCAGGGGAAGGTTTCAGGTTTTATCTGGAGAGCTTGAGAACTCAGGGCACATACATGCCTGTGATCCAGGACCAGCTGGGGTGAGTCATGGTGTCGAGACACTGTTGGGGGTGCTGTCTGTCCTATTTGTAAAAGGAAGAAATAAATAAACTTAAAAAAGATAAATGAAGTATTATAGTACTGATAGAATGCGAATGTAATGAGAAGTACACGACATCACTACACTCTTAGCAAAGATGTGTGGCCTGAACCTAACTGTAGGGATGTTAGATGTGCTACTTAGCCTCTCTGATGGCCCCAATGGTCCCTGCCTTCTGGTACACTCTTGTATAATCTACACCCCTATACCAGGGTTAGTCCATGTGACTAATAGAATATAGCACAAGTGGGACCAGCAGTTGGCGTAATGGCTATGTTGCTGGACTCCCATGTAGTCGACCACGGGTTGAGTCCCGGACCTGGTGGCTTAAACTCACGCCAGGCGCATGTGCATGCATGCGCAAGTTCCTGAGAGGAGAATGGAGGAGAAGGGATTGCAGCATGGCCATCCCCCCGGGGGTAATTTCTCGCTTTCTATCTCTCTGTCTTTCTGGCGAGTGCACGCGCCCTATAGCAAAAACGTACCCCCCCCCAAAAAAAAAGAGAATATAGCACAAGTGATAGTCATTTCCAAGATAAGTTATAAAAGACCAGTTTCAGGCCCCACAAGTGGCATGGTGGTTGGGGGTGCTGGACTCACACATGGCAGACTGCGATTCGACTCCTGGACCTGGCAGCATACTTTCTCACTTTCTCTGTCACTGGTGAGCACACATGCTCTATAGCAAATGAAAAATAATAATAGTACATAAAATTAAATAAATAATTCTTTAAAAAACCACAATTCTTTCTTGGCTTGTCTTAGTCACTCCCTCTAGGGAAAAATGAAAAATATCATGAGTAGCACTTTAGAGAAGCCAGTGTGGCAAGGAACTGAAGCCTCCTGCTAATAGCCATATAAGTGATCTTGGAAGCACATCCGACAACTCAGATTGGAGCACATTCTGCAAAACAGCTGGTCTGTAATCTTCAAAAAGTGCCAAGGTCATGAAAAGCAAGACACAACTGAGGACCTCTGCTCTTCCAGATTGAAGGAGGCTAAAGAGATGTACACTACAGCTATGTTGCTGACCTGAATTTTGCTGTGAAAGACATTTGGGGGACAGTTGAAGAAACTTACATGAGCTCTAAGGAACAAATAGTAGGAATGTATCAACATTAATTTTTAATTTTGAGTGTTAAATTCTTAGGTAGGAAAATGTACTACTTTGCAGAATATGTAGTAAAATATTCTGGGTTGATTAGGTATCAGGTTGCCAACTTACAAATGGTTCAGTAAAAAATAGTCTTTGAATTATACTATAACTTGTTCCTAAGCGTTAAAGCTATATACAGGGGGACCAGCAGGTGATGTAGTAGCTGAGGTGCTGGACTCCCACATGGCTGACAGCAGTTCGAGTCCTGGACCAAGTCCTAGACCGGGAGGCTTGAAACTCAGCCTCCATGACTTGTATATGTATATGCCTGCATGCTCAGGATTCCAAGAGGAGAACCTATATGCATGAGAATGGAGAAGGGATTGTGGCAAGGCTATCCCCCCAGGGGTAACTTCTCACTTTCTGTCTCTTTGTCTCTGTCTCTCTGGCCAGTGTACTTGCCCTATGGCAAAAATCTCTCTTTTAAAAAGAGCTATATGGGGCCAGCAGGTGGCATGGTGGTTAAGGGTGCTGGATTCCCACATGTTGGACCATGATTTGAGTCCTGGACCTTGCAGATTACTTTCTTGGTTTCTCTCTCTCTCTCTCTCTCTCTCTCCGTCTCTGGTCAAGTTAAAAAACAAACAAATAAATAAATGAAGTTAAATAAAATAATTCTTTTTTTTTTTTTTTGAGAGTTTTTTTTTGGCTTTAGGGCGCGTGCGCTCACCAGAAAGACAGAGAGAGACAGAAAG